TTTTTTTTTTTTTTTTTTTTTTTTTTTTTTTAAAGAAACTAAGACTTCATTCAAAGTGAAATAAAATTGTAGAGGTCATAACAATGTCACTTTAAATACTGTAACACATAATTATCTTTCAGTAATTAGATGTGCTGACTATCAGATAATTAGTAAAGTAAGATCATTGTCTTATTGGTCAAGAATAAATCTAGATCAAACATTTTTTTAACCTGGCAAAGGAAATACGAAGGAATGGCCCAGCTTCTAGCACACCCGTTCTCTTGGCTATAGTTTGGTTTTCTAGCAGCGGTCCATTATTTCATGCTACTGCACATGCCTCACAAAGTGAGAAATATCAACCCAAGTGACAACATAACTGAGTTCTAACTATACATTTATTCTCACGTGGCTAGAGAGGAATCCCACTTCCCTCCCACCAATCCTCGGACTTCTTTAGTTGTCAAAGCAGAGAGCTGCCACAAAGTTTGCATTTTTATGTGGAAAGCAAGTGATATATGGAGCTCTGTGCTGCTCTTCTGCATGGAAATTAGTTTCACTTTAGTTTCCTGACAATGAACATAACCCAAAGTACTTAAAAAAGGGAAAGGCTGGGGTGGAGGGGAGAAAGAAAGAACACCACTTTTAACACTAAAGTGATGGTCTGATGGACTATCACATTTTTGCTTCTTGAGCTTTGAGGTTAAATGTAACACAGACTTGCAGTCTAATCTTTGTCCCTTGTGCATGTTTGCTAGTATTTCAAAGGCACCAGAGATTCTGGAACAGTTTGGTCTGACTCACATCCTCTGATCACAAAATGCCCAGGACAGAAATAAAGCCTTGTTGCATTTTAGGACAGAAGTCACCACAGCACATTCTCTTAAGTTATCAACTGCTTTATTTCAATGCCATTTACTTTCATACCTACCAATGTATCTTTTTTAATCAATTTACCTTTGGGCAGTGGTCATAATTGCATCCACAACTTCAATGATTCTGTGCAAGGCTGAGTCAGTTCCTATGGTCATATCAGTACCACAGAAATCATTATCAATGGACCCAACCATACCCACAATGTTGAGGTAAGCATATTTCTTAACTGCCTCTTCATCAATCTTGCCTGTAGAGAAATAACCATAAAAAAAAAAAGTATTTTAACAAAAGGCAGCTCTAATGACATGAAACTGGTGGCAAATGGTATGGCATAGTTGAAAGTTTTGGGTCCTTTAACCAATTTTATAGCAGAAGGGAAAAGTACTGAATACATACCTATATGTGACCCAACAATGTAACTTGTGTATAACCTCTATAAACAAGGGACTGCAACAAGATGGCACTGCTTAAGTAATCAGCAGGCATTTTGTAAACAAAACCACACTTAACCACAAAAGTAACAAAAACAGGAAAACCCTATAAAAATGTAAAAAAACAGAAAAGAGGGAGGAGGGGGACAAGCCATCCATAAAAAAGCAAGCAAAAAAACCTGTGAACCCCAAAGACTCCTGAGTGTTTGGCCAGCTGCAGGAAAACACTTCGTCCTCAGGACTGGGTAAGATTTATGCACAGTTTCTGTTGTTCCCTTGTCTTATGCTTATATTGTAACTTGCTATACTCAATAAATGCTCTTTTCAAAGAACGAACAACTCTTGTCCAAGCCCATTTTCATGGCTTCAGCGATACCACTTGGATTCTAACAATAAATGTGGGCAACAAAACAAAATTATCAGACTTGTCTGGGCCTCCTAACCCTCCCTCACAAGCAGTAGACAGGACAGGGTGAGGGGTGAGTGGAGGGAATGGGGCTTGCAAGCTGCTGGGGGAAGGCGGTGCCAGGGGCCTGGGCCGGGGTGGGGGGCACAGAGCACCCCAGCCAGCACCAAATTCCTAGCTGAAGCTGCTTCTCTGCAGCTGTGGGGACATTGTTGCCCCCACCCCCAGGAATTGGAGCCCCACGTCTACAGAGATGAAGCTTCAGCCAGGAATTCGGGGCTGACGCTGGGGGGGGGGTGGAGAATCATGTTAGCTCTTCCTACTGCAGCGCAGGATCCACAATGTCCCTGGCTTGTCCTGTCCAAGCCTCAGGACCCTGAATTGCAGCTTCAGCCAGGGATTTGGAGCTAGCTGCAGGGGAGAAAAACCTGAGAGCCCAGAGTATCCTTGCCCTGTCTCGAGCCCCAGGACACTGCACTGCAGCACCTCTGGGAAGGTCTCATGGGATTTTCCCCCTGGAGCTATTGGATTCCTGGCTGAAGCTGCTGCAGCGCAAGGTCCCGGGGCTCATGAAAGGACAAGGGAAGGGCACTTTGAACCCTGTGCTGCAGCAAGTTCAGCCAGGAATCTGGCACTGGCTGAAGGGGAGAGAGTCCTGCAAGCCCTTTCCAAAGCCACTGCAGTGCAGGGTCCAGAGTGTCCCTCCCCTGTTTTGAGCCCCGGGACCATGCACTGCAGCAGCTCTAAGGCTCCATGCCCCCACAGCTACAAAGAGGCGGCTTCAGCCAGGAATTCAGTGCTGGCTCTGTTGGCGGGCTGGGGGGGAATCCTGCAAACTCTTCCTGAAACTGCTGCAGCACAGGATCCTGGGGCTTAGGACAGAGCAGGAACAGTACGTGTTCCACCCACCAGGAATACAGGGTACACTGCTGGCACCACCTCTCCACAACAGTTTGCATGCCCTGCTCTCCCCTTTCCTCCCGCCTGTGGTGGACCCTTGAGTCCCCACCCTGGACAAAGCCCAGGGACCCTCATTCTGCTAAGTGGGGCACAACCACACCTCCCACTATTGCTTGGAGGCAGCTGATAGCTGCCTGACAGATAACAGGGCAGCGGGGTGGTGCGGAGAGGCATGTGCCTGACGGCCAATCAGGGATGGTGCAGCCATCTGGCTGCATTTGGTAATGTCCAGCAGCTGGGAGGCATGTGGGAGCAACCCCAGCTTTCTGGCCTCAGCCAGTGCAGGCTTCTGCTTGCATCCCCAAACCGAGAAGCAAATGTGAGCTCCGTGTGCTAACGGCCCAATCTATGCAGTTTAAAGAAACCTGTGTAGCTTGGATTGATTCTGCCTCAGGCCTTCTGACTGTCTGCACTTAACCAGGAAGACTGCACAAAGGAGAAAAACTTATGTGTAGAGTTGGACAGTCAGCTAATTTACGTGTGCTTAATTTTGTAATCTAAATTATGTCCTACGAATGTAATTTGCTTATGTAATGATACATAATTTTCTTGAAGAGGTCTACATATTTGAAAGATGCAAACTTACCACTTTCTGCCAGTTCCTCTAAAAGTCCACTCCATTCTTCACGGAAGAGATTAGCACCCGTTAAGCTTCCATCCCCACCAATCACACAGAGGTTAGTGATTCCACGTTTAACAAGATTGTAAGCGGCTTGCAAACGACCTTCCCGGGTACGAAATGCCTTGCAGCGTGCACTCCCAATAACTGTTCCACCCTGAAAAAAGGAAATTAATCCAATTAAATTTACCCTCCAGATTTTCTTGGTAAAATAATTAATTTTACAATGGGTAAAAAATTAAAGAATTCTCAAACCTGTGGGAAGTTATTTTCAAAACAGATAAATGCACATTAAGCCACATGGTAAGTAAAGAGGAACATTACAAATACAGTAAATAAGGAAACTTTTTCAAAAGAATTTCCAATAGATGCTGGATAAACTTCTAGCAATAGTTCTAGCTAATATTACTTATCATTTAATTTGTCTGATATGAATAATTTATAATACTCAAAGTAAGATAACACTATAACAGTAAAGGCCCAAGTTGAATGTGTTCACATAGTGAAACATGCACTTATAACAAGGGAGTACTGAGAAATATGCAAAACATCAACTGTGAACAGATGGGCGTAGGGCCCATACTATCGTTTACTGTAATTTTATGGAGTTCTGAGGAAGAAGTTGCAACCTACTTCATTAAGTAGGTGAGATGCTTTTCTTCAATTTCCCCATTAACTTGTGAGCCTTTGGTTAATTGTTATGAACATCTATTGCTCAATAAGACCTGTTACATAATAAGTCGATGGTAATGGAAAGATTCTCATACTTTGATAGCCTTTAGATCTACATTTTTTTATTTTCAGTAATTTGATGAGAATTTTATCCATTGACATGAGTTAAGGAACTCTATCCATAGAAGATAAGACACTAAAATCAAAACACTTACACCTTCTCTTTCCCTACATATAACCAATACGGTACTATGTAAACACTTATTTTTTTCAACTGGAATTCACACACCCCCTTACACATGTACAAATACTTTAGGTGTACAAAAATTAAGTGGTGACAAAATGATCTGCACCTTCTACCATTACGAATTTGCTGTCCAGATTTATAGACAGCAAAATCTGCATATCTGTATTTGCGTATGCTTTCTTTCCTTGACTACCATTTTAGCTTATTTCCAATGCACAGTAGAAAGTACCATTACCATAAGTACATACATTTTTCTTTTTCTTGGCAGAAAATATGAAGATTATCTCAATTTCTTTGCCCTGTAATCTGAGTCACACACAATTCAAACCTAAGCTTGGAATTGGTTCAAATTGTCTCACCATCTCAAATAGTCTGCCTCACTCCTGGATGATTTTGTTCCAAACTATTTCTTGGCATGGTCCAGCTATACATTTTGCAAGTCACAGCAAGCAGATAATGGTAAGAAAAAAGCAGACAGGGAGAGAGTCTTGAAATCTGTCTCCATGAAAAGGAAGAGGAGCGCAAGTCTATACTTCAAGCAGCTATAAAAGTAACCAGACATGATAGAAATAGTGTGTAAAGTGATCTACACTAAGACCTTACAAAATTAGGAAAGAGATTATGTTAAGTGAAAGATAAGCATTCCTTCTCTTTTCAGAAGGAAAACTAAACTGGAAGAAATGAGGAGCTACTTAACGTACATCTTGAAAAACTCTATGTGTATGTTCACATGCACATGCCACTATAGGTAACATATGTGGCAGAAGCATTCAAGCTCAGAAGAGCAACAGCACCATCCCAGGGCTCTGCAATGATACGCAAACCAGAACCTGCAGGAAATCAACAGGTTCTACTGTATAAAAGGAAGAAAGACTAGCCAGTGGTAAAGTGGTTAGTTGGGAGCCTTAGAGGCTAGCCTTGACACTGACATCTTGTGTGTCCATGGACAAGTCAATTTGTCTCCCAGTCTGGGACGCTTGCAAGAAATGGTCTCATTGGTGGTTAAAAAAATTACTTGTAATCTACAATTCCTCTAGAACAGTGCTGTTCAATCTGTCATCCATAGATCAGGTGAGAACCATAAAGCCTGTATCGACAACTTGCCACCCAACACCATGTCCCTGTCTGAGCTCACCAGCATATCAGCGTGGCTCCTGCCAGAGCTCGGCCCAGAAAAACAAACAGCCTGAGCTGTGCATGTATAGTGAACTCTCTAGCCAGAGTCCATGCCAAGAACTGGTGAGCTCAGAGAGCTCACTACGCATGTTGAGCTCTAGCTGTGCTTTTCCATGTAGCCACCTGCCCATGTCCAATTTTAAGGTTGGAACAACTTGAAAAACAAAAAAACAAAAAACGGCTGAGCACTGTTGACACCAACATTATACTAGGATGACAGATACCAGATAATGAACTGCGTAATCAAGAGTAGTGCTTGTAGAATGAAAGAGAAGTATAAAACACAGTTTCCCCATCCAACGACCGGGGCTAAGGCTTCCCCTATGACAGAACATGCACCAGCATGTGTTTCTGCAGTAGCAAAAAAAGTCCATCTTCAAGTGACCCCAGACTGAGAAAATGTCTCATAGGACAGAATCCTTGATTCTGGATCCATACTTGAATGAGAAAGAAAATGTCCATGTTCCCTTAAAATTCATTAAAATTATATTGAATAATAGACAGCAAAGTAAAATTAAAATCAAATAAAGGAAAATAGAACAGCCTGGCAGAAACACCCTACATTTCTTTGTTAGTTAGAATCATAGCTATTTAAAGAAAAATACAGCAGAGAGTAAAGCAGTACAATTGCCATACAATGGCACAGTTATAAAGGGCTCATCTGATTTATATATGAGTTTTCACTTATAATACAATCATATCACATCTTTTTGTATATACGTTTTTTAAAGTGCTTACTGTTTTTTGTTGAGCAGTTTCCATACCATCATGTAAAAGAAAAAAAATAGCATTTAACTTATGAAGTAGTCTTGTATTATTCAGGCTTCTGGGGCCCTATTCTCCTTACTTGTTTATTAAATACAAAATGACTCCTGATGTCCCTTTTTTCAAATATAAAAAGACTCCTAAATATATATTTTGAAGCCTAATCTTAGGCACCTAATTTTGAACATCTGGAGACTGGAGTTTGTGCGCCCCAGTGTGATACACCTTAAAGAGAACATATTTCAAGAAAGTATTGTGTATTCATCCCCTGTAAAACCTGACTGTTAAAGATGTCACAAGGTGGGTATCTAGAAAGCAAGGAGGTTAAACTCACTGACTACTTTTGAAATTATTAGCTATGATCTTTAAGCTAAAAGTTGTTGGTTAATTTAAAATGAAAATGTATATTTCTGATGGTACTTACCACTTGCAGGATACTTGATACACTTTCCCAAGAAACTTCAACAATGTTGTCACCTCCATCAACCATACCCTGGTAACCCTGAGACAAGAAAAAGTATTGTAGTGACTTTGTAAAAGTAACCCAAAATTAACTATAATTGTAATTACTTTAAAGTTATATTTAGACTAACAAGCTCTTTAGAATAGGATGTTCTTTTTGTTTGCTGTTTGTATATCACCCAAAAAATGGGTTCTGGTCCATAATGGTAGCTCCTAAACACCACTGAGGAAAAAGGACCTTTGAGAGCCACCTTATAAATATTTGGGGACCCCAAATTCATGTAATGACCAACAAAAGCGTGTTTATTGTGCTATGTCATATTCCCAGGCATTTAAAACCCCCTAGGTTCCAACAACCTTGAAGGCTGAAACGTGAAAACAAAGAAAACTTCAATCACCCCTCCAGCTTATGACACAAGTATTATTCCTTTCCCATGGTCTTCAGTGCCATCTGAAAACCCAAACCTAGAGTGGCTGGCCATGTATCAGGAACTACCTGGAATAGGTCTATGGTTTCACAGTGGCCAGGAAATTTCGAGCTCAACCAAAGGAATCATCATTCATGTTGAAAATTAAGTTGTTTATCATGATCAATCTTTGTAAAGCCAAGGCCACAGTAGTTATGAGATGCACAATCAGTTCAACTGGCTGATCAGCAGTATACAGAGCAGGCTATGAACCAAAATAAACAGGAATCTTTTGAGTATTATTACCCTCTGCAATGACAGAACCATGCGTTTGTCTGTACAGCACAAACTGGATAATTGAGGAGATCCCTTCCAGTTTCATATTCTATTGTGCATCATATATAAATCTTTCGCCTTGTAATTTTGTTAACTTCTTCTAGATCAGGTAATCCTTTTCTTGTACTACTTAATAAGTTTGTGAAACACAGACAGCACGGTATAGCCAACGTTTTATATTTACCTTTAAAAGAGCACAAAGTAAAGTTATGATGTGTACAATTTCTCTAGAAGTTCATTGCTTCACACTCCCTCAAAAGTGTAATTAAATTCATCTCACTACTACTACTTCTCCTGAGGGCTTCGAAAAATCAATTTTCTAACCAGCTCCTTTATTGTCTATTACTTCCTTTCTAGTTCTTGTCTGCAAAATAGCATTATTTTCTCTTAAGAAAACAATCATCCTCAGACCTCTTGATCACTTCCTGTTTCTTACCATATTTTGCCAGCTTCGTGATGCAATGCAATATTTATATTCAGTTTTAATACCAGTTACCACAGAAACAGTTCCATTTTTTTTTTTTTTTTTTTTTTTTTTTTTTTTTTTTTTTT